GGCGCAGACACCCCATGATAATGTGGCATGTCTCATTAAGAGCCACATCCACTGTTTTAGCATGATGAGATGTGTTCCACACTGGGCATGCATACTCAGCAGCAGAGTAGCACAGCGCAAGGGCAGATGTCTTCACTGTATCTGGTTGTGATCCTCAGGTTGTGCCAGTCAGCTTTCGTATGATATTGTTTCTAGCGCCCACTTTTTGCTTGAAGTTCAGGCATACCTTCTTGTAGGTCAGAGCACGGTCCAGAGTGACTCCCAGGTATTTGGTAGTGCTGCAATGCTCCAGTGGGATTCCTTCCCAGGTAATCCTCAGAGCTCGGGATGCTTGTCTGTTCTTAAGGTGAAAAGCATGTCTGTGTTTTAGATGGATTAGGGATCAGCTGGTTTTCCCTGTAATAGGCAGTGAGAGCACCTAGAGCTTCGGAGAGCTTCTGTTCTACCATCTCAAAGCTCCCTGCTTGAGCGGTGATGGCACGATCATCAGCATAGATGAAACTCTCTGTCCCTTCTGGCAGTGGCTGGTCATTTGTGTAGATGTTGAACATGGATGGCAAGCACGCTCCCCTGAGGCAGGCCATTCTTCTGTTTCCGCCATCTGCTTCTCTGGCCCTGGAACTCAACAAAAAAGCTCCTGTTTTGTAGCAGGTTTCCTATGAGGCGGGTGAGGTGGTTGTCCTTTGTGATATTATACATTTTTCTCAGGAGGAGGCGGTGGTTCACAGTCTCATAGGCTGCTGACAGGTCTATGAAGACAGCTCCTGTGATCTGCTGCCTTTCAAAGCCATCTTCTATGTGCTGAGTCAGGTTCAGCACTTGCGATGTGCAGCTTTTGCCTTTCCTGAAGCCAGCTTGCTGTGGGATCAGGCATGGGTCTATTTTTCCCGTAATTCTATGCAAAATAAGTCTCTCCAGAACTTTGTAGAGGTAGCACAACAGGGAAATTGGTCTGTAGCTCTGGAAAAGCTGACACAATATGAGGATTTAAAGATCGAACTGCAGAGACTCTGGCACAAGCCAGTCAAGGTGGTCCCAGTGGTGATGGGCACACTGGGCGCAGTGCCTACATCACACGACCTGCACTTAAACACAATCGGCGCTGACAAAATTGCCATCTGCCATCTGCAAAAGGCCACCTTACTGGGATCTGCACACATTATTCGCCGATACATCACACAGTCCTAGACACTTGGGAAGTGTCCAACGTGTGATCCAATTCAACAGCCAGCAGAGTGTCTGCTGTGGACTCATCTTGTTGTGTTTCAAATAATAATAATAATAATAATAATAATAATAATAATAGAAAAAAGGTCGAGGAAAATGAACATGCAAAAATACTGTGGAACTTTTCCAACAGACCACATGGCCTCTGAGGATGCCTGCTATAGATGTGGGCAAAACGTCAGGTGAGAGTGCTTCTGGAACATGGCCAAACTTGCAGCAGCTCTGTCAGGAAGTTCTTTCTAATGTTTATTAATTTATCTTGTCAAAAGTGAGTTGAGGGTACAGTTATAATGTATTTAAAAACAAACAAAGTTTAAAACTTGGCATGAAACTAAATGTTGGAATCTGTAAGAAGGTCCTTCATTGTGCATGTGGCAGGGCTCAGACCGCATTGTACTAGGTGGTCTGTGGTTTGCTTTTCTCCACACTCACATGTCGTGGACTCCACTTTGTGGCCCCATTTCTGAAGATTGTCTCTGCATCTCATGTTGCCAGAATGCAGTCTGTTCAGTGCCTTCCAAGTCGCCCAGTCTTCAATATGCCTAGGAGGGAGTTTCTCATCTGCTCTCAACCACTGATTGAGATTCTGGGTTTTTGCCTGCCACTTTTGGACTCTTGCTTTCTGAGGTGTTCCTTTGAGTATCTCTGTAGTTCTTAGGAAGCTGTTTCTTGGTGTGCTGGCTGATATCCAAACAGAGGATGGGCCGGAGATGTCACTACCTTGGTCCTTTCATTATTAGCTGCTACTTCCCTGTGGATATCAAGTCGTTCAATACCGGCTAAGCAGTACAATTTCTCCAGCGGTATAGGGCATAGACATCCTGTGATAATGCAGCATGACTCATTAAAGGTGACATCCACTATTTTAACGTGGTGAGATGTGTTCCACACTGGGGATGCATACTTAGCAGCAGAGTAGCAAAGTGCAAGGGCAAATGTCTTCACTGTGTCTGGTTGTGATCCTCAGGATACGCCAGTCAGCTTTTATACGATTGTATTTATGCGTCCCTTTTTGCTTGATTGTCAAGCAGTGCTTCTTGTGAGTCAGAGCATGGTCCAGTGTAACCCAGGTATTTGGGTGTGTTGCAGTGCCACAGTGGAACTCCGTCCCAAGTCATCCTCAGAGCTCGAGGTTCTGTCTGTTCTTAAATGAAGAGCGTTTTAGATGGATTAGGAATCAGCTGGTTTTCCCTGTAATAGGCAGTAAGAGCACTTAAAGCTTTGGAGAGCTTTTGTTCAACCATTTCAAAGCGCCCTGCTTGAGCAGTGATGGCACGATCGTCAGCATAGATGAAACTTTCGGTCCCTTCTGGCAGTGGCTGGTCATTTGTGTAAAATGTTAAACACTGATGGAGCAAGCATGCTTCCCCTGAGGCAGGCCATTCTTCTGTTTTCACCATCTGTTTCTCTCGGCGTGGAACTCAACAAAAAAGCTCCTGTTTTGTAGCAGATTTCCTTTGAAGCAGGTGAGGTGGTAATCCTTTGTGATATTATATTTTTTCTCAGGAGAAGGAGATGATTTACAGTATACTGTGCTGCTGACAGGTCTATGAAGACAGCTCCTATAATTTATTTATTTATTTACATTATTTCTATCCCGCCCATTTCAGTCCGAAGGCTGCCCTCGGGCTGAAAGTTGCTCCAAATGTCATTTATTGAATTTCATGGCTAAGTAATCTCACAAGTCACCGTCCAACACTACATTGGCTCTCCATAAAAAAGACTTTTACATTCTAAAGGCTTTAGAAACGTGACTTAAGCAACGTGCAGTCATTGAATTCTTGAGAGTTGAAGGTGTCACCCCAAAGGAGATTCATCAGAGAATGCAAGCTGTTTATGGGGATTGTGTTGATGTGAGTACTGTGTCCTGTTTAAAGATGTTGAGGTGACACCGATCCAGTTCCGAGCACAATTTAAAGTGCTGGTTCTGACCAAGAAAACCCTATACGGCTCCAGCCCAGCGTACCTGTCCGAACGCATCTCCTTCTACGTCCCGCCTCAGAGTTTAAGATCTTCTGGGGAGGCCCTGCTCTCGGCCCCACCTCTATCACAAGTGAGATTGGTGGGGACGAGGAGCAGGGCCTTCTTGGTGGTGGCCCCTCGCCTGTGGAATTCACTTCCCGGGGAAATCAGGTCATCGACATCCCTCCTCTCTTTTAGAAGGAAACGAAAAACATGGATATGGGACCAGGCATTTGGGTAATCTGGCAGATAGACAAAGGACAATGATGACTAGAATTGATAGGATTTGACAATGTGGTATGAACTTACGGATTCTGAGCTGGTGAACATTGAACATTAGATTGGTTTTTATTGATTGTGATGTATAACTTGATTGTTTTAATTGTTTTATAATTGCTGTTGATATATGTTTTATCTTATTGTCTGTTGTTGGCATCGAATTGTGCCTTTTGTAAGCCACCCTTAGTCCCCACTCGGGGGTTGAGAAGGGCGGGGTAGAAATGCATGAAATAAATAAATAAATACATTCTGATGTCAAGTCACATTGACCGACTGTCTGTGCAGGGTTCCATACTTTGCACTTAAACAACACAACTGTTCAATGCTAAGGCTTCTGGCCAAATGGAACTGTAGAGGAGAGTCTACTGAATTAGCCAGTACCTGCCACATACCAGTATTGCCATCTGTTGAGGAGTTACAAAGCTGGAGGCATTACTTTTCATTCAACCTTCATATGATAATGCTGAATTAGTACTGCCACTTCATATTTGTCGTCTGCGACCATCTGCGCAAGGTTCCATACTTTGCACTTAAACAACACAGCCGTTCAATGCTAAGGCTTCCCACCAAAGGGAACTGTAGAGTCTACTGAACAAGCCAGTACCTGCCACATACCAGTATTGCCATCTGTTGAGGAGTTACGAAGGTGGAGGCATTACTTTTCACTTTAACAACACAACCATTCAATGCTAAGGCTTCCCGTCAAAGGGAACTGTAGAGGAGAGTCTACTGAACAAGCCAGTACCTGCCACATACCAGTACTGCCATCTGTTGAGGAGTTACGAAGGTGGAGGCATTACTTTTCACTTTAAAAACACAACCACTCAATGCTAAGGCTTCCCGCCAAGGGGAACTGTAGAGGAGAGTCTACTGAACAAGCCAGTACCTGCCACATACCAGTACTGCCATCTGTTGAGGAGTTACAAAGGTGGAGGCATTACTTTTCACTTTAACAACACAACCGTTCAATGCTAAGGCTTTCCGCCAAAGGGAACTGTAGAGGGGAGATTCAATGCTAAGGCTTCCTGTCAAAGGGAACTGTAGAGAAGAGTCTACTGAACAAGCCAGTACCTGCCGCATACCAGTACTGCCATCTGTTGAGGAGTTATGAAGGTGGAGGCATTACTTTTCACTTTAACAACACAACCATTCAATGCTAAGGCTTCCCGCCAAAGGGAACTGTAGAGGGGAGATTCAATGCTAAGGCTTCCCGTCAAAGGGAACTGTAGAGAAGAGTCTACTGAACAAGCCAGTACCTGCCGCATACCAGTACTGCCATCTGTTGAGGAGTTATGAAGGTGGAGGCATTACTTTTCAGTTTAACAACACAACCATTCAATGCTAAGGCTTCCCGCCAAAGGGAACTGTAGAGGGGAGTCTATTGAACAAGCCAGTAGTCTACTGGAGGCATTACTTTTCATTCAACCCCCATATTTTCACTTTTATATCTAGAGATTTGGGATGAGAAGAAGGTGAATTTGAGGATTGCCCCACCTCTTAATGTGTTTGTCTTTGTCTTCTCTTTGTTTCAGGAAGACTCTGTAATTCGCCAGGATGTCGGAGGAGATCATCGTACCCGTTTATTGTACTGGAGTCTCAGCGCAGGTCCAGAAACAACGAGCAAAAGACTTGGGTTTGGGGAAACATGAGAACGCAGTCAAGTACTTAGGCCAGGATTACGAAAGGCTTCGGAACGAGTGCTTGCAGAGCGGATCCCTCTTCCGAGACGAGACCTTCCCTGCCTCCGCCTCTTCCTTGGGATTTAAAGAGCTGGGGCCAAATTCCTCCAAAACATACGGCGTGAAATGGAAACGGCCCACGGTAAGGCATGAGAAGTGAACTATTTTTTTTCAGCTTGGAGTTCCTTTTTCTGAACGTTCCCAAAAATCTATGAATATTTTTGACTAGCCGTCCCCCGCCACACGTTGCTGTGGCTCAGTCTAGTAATCTGGAAAATAAAGTAATAAGAAAGTATTGATTTCTAATGAATGAAATCACACCAGATTTGACAACAAAACGCCTCACTACACAAGGAGTGACTATCACTCAAAAAATTATGATTTTGTCATTTGGGAGTTGTAGTTGCTGGGATTTATAGTTCACCTATAATCAAAGAACCTTCTGAACTCCACCAGCGATGGAATTGGACCAAACTTGGCACACAGGACTACCCTGACCAACAGAAAACACTACAAGGGTTTGGTGAGCATTGACCTTGAGTTTGGGAGTTGTAGTTCACCTACATCCAGAGAGCACTGTGGACTCGAACAATGAAGGATCCAGACCAAACTTAGCATGAATATTCCATATGCCCAAATATGAAAACCCAAGGAGTGACCATCACTCAAAAATTGATTTTGTCATTTGGGATTTGTAGTTGCTGGGATTCATAGTTTACTTATTTGGGAATTGTAGTTACTGGGATTTATAGTTCACCTACATCCAGAGAGCACTGTGGACTCAAACAATCAAAGAGCATTCTGAACTCCCCCAATGATGGAATTGAACCAAACATGGCACACAGGACTCCCATGACCAACAGAAAACACTAGAAGGGTTTGGTGAGCATTGACGTTAAGTTTGGGAGTTGTAGTTCACCTACATCCAGAGAGCACTGTGGACTCAAACAATGAAGGATCTGGACCAGACTTGGCACAAGCACTCAATACGCCCATATATGAACACAGATGGAGTTTGGGGGAAATAGACCTTGACATTTGGGAGTTGTAGTCACTGGGATTCATAGTTCACCTACAATCAAAGAGCATTCTGAACCCACGAACGACACAGAACCCCCATGACCAACAGAAAACACTTAAGGATCCAGACCAAACTTAGCATAAATATTCCATATGCCCAAACCAAATATGAAAACCCAAAGAGTGACCATCACTCAAAAAAATTGTTTTTGTCATTTGGGATTTGTAGTTGCTGGGATTCATAGTTTACTTACAATCAAAGAGCATTCTGAACTCCACCAATGATGGAATTGAACCAAACATGGCACACAGGACTCCCATGACCAACAGAAAACACTAGAAGGGGTTGGTGGGCACTGACCTTGAGTTTGAAAGTTGTAGTTCACCTACATCTAGAGAGCACTATGGACTCAAACAATGATAGATCTGGACCAAACTTGGCATGAATACGCAATATGCCCAAATATGAACACAGATGGAGTTTGGGGGAAATAGACCTTGACATTTGGGAGTTGTAGTTACTGGGATTTATAGTTCACCTACACATTCTGAACCCCACCAACGACAGAATTAGGGCAAACTTCCCACACAGAACTCCCATACATAAGGCCATCCAGTCCAACTCCCTTCACCAGGGCAAGAAAACATAATCAAAGCCCTCCCAACAAACAGCCATCCAGCTATAGATATAGATAGATAAATATGATTCACACACACGGAGAGATATAGATTTGAAAGGGACCCCTAAAGAAGGACAATGATATGTTGCATGTTCCAGGGTGGGCAAACCAGACACTCTCCACATCAACACTGACAAAGAAACAGCAAGAAATACTGTTTACCCACAAGCATAAAGAAATTACATAGAAACCAATACTTTCTAATTACTTTATTTTCCAGATTACTAGACTGGGCCACAGCAACGCGTGGCAGAGGATGGCTAGTATAAAATATATGTGTGTGTGTGTGAATCATACCTATCTATCTATATCTATGGCTGGATGGCTCTTTGTCAGGAGGACTTTTATGTTTTCTTGCCCTGGGGAAGGGAGGTGGACTGGATGGCCTTAAGGAAGGATTTCTCAACCTGGGGGTCGGGACCCCCGGGGGGTGGGTGGGTTAGAGTTAGGGTTAGGGTCATGGAAGGGTGTCAGAGGGGTCCTAAAACCCAGAAAACACAGTATTTTCTGTTGGTCAGGGGGTTTCTGTGTGGAAGTTTGGCCCAATTCTATCATTGGTGGGTTCAGAATGCTCTTTGATTGTAGGTGAACTATAAATCCCAGCAACTCCCAAATATCTTTCCCAAACTCCACCAGTGTTCACATTTGGGCATATTGAGTATTTGTGCCAAGTTTGGTCCAGATCCATCATTGTTTGAGTCCACAGTGCTCTCTGGATGTAGGTGAACTACAACTCCAAAACTCAAGGACAATGCCCACCAAACCCTTCCAGTATTTTCTGTTGGTCATGGGAGAACTGTGTGCCAAGTTTGCTTCAATTCCATCCTTGGTGGGGTTCAGAATGCTCTGTGATTGTAGGTGAACTATAAATCCCAGCAACCACAACTCCCAAATGTCAAGATTCAATTTTTTTGAGTGGACATACATTAGGTTGTTAGGTGTCTTGTGTCCAAATTTGGTGTCAATTCGTCCAATGGTTTATGAGTTCTGTTAATCCCACAAACTAACATTACATTTTTATTATATAGATTAACCTAGTACAATATCAGTATTATATATTACTATATTGTACTATACCATTATATTGTAATATTATTAGTAATATTACATGTAATATAAAATATATAATTATAATATTGTATTAATATTAGTAGTAGTAGTATAAAAACTATAGTACTATAAATATAGTACTATAAGTAACCCAGGAAAGTTGGCAATCATAATATGTATATATAAAAATATATAATAATTATAATATTGTATTATTATTATTGTATTATTATTATTATTATTAGTAGTAGTAGTAGTAGTAGTAGTAGTAGTAGTATAAATAACTATAGTACTATAAATAACCCAGGAAAGTTGGCAGTAATAATAGGTATATATAATATGTATATATAATAATTATAATATTGTATTATTATTGTATTATTATTATTATTACTATTAGTAGTAGTAGTAGTAGTAGTAGTAGTATAAATAACTTTGGTACTATAAATATAGTACTATAAATAGCCCAGGAAAGTTAGCAATAATAATATGTATATATAATAATTATTATAATATTGTATTATTATTATTATTATTACTATTAGTAGTGGTAGTAGTAGTAGTAGTAGTATAAATAACCTTGGTACTATAAATATAGTACTATAAATAACCCAGGAAAGTTGGCAATCATAATATGTATATATAATAATATATAATAATTGAACAAAATCTGGCTACCAGTATTAAAAAACTCTAAAATTGCAACAGCAAAACAGCAGAGAGGAAACAACCAGGCACATCTTAACACCTCTCAACAGAACATTTTCCCAGGCTCAGCCAGGCCTTCAAATGCTAATGAAGGTGGTCAGCTGAAACATTCACACCTAGCTTCAGCAGGGAAGAGCTCCTTGCCCCACCCCAGCCATTCCACAGATATATAAACCCATTTTCCTATTTCCAACAGACCTCACTACCTCTGAGGATGCTTGCCATAGATGCAGGCGAAACGTCAGGAGAAATGCCTCTAGAACATGGCCCTATAGCCCGAAAAAACCTACAAGAACCTATATAATAATAATAATAATTATATTGTATAATTATTATTATTAGTATACTACTACTAATATTTATTTATTTATTTATTTACTGTATTTGTATACCGTCTTTTCAGCCTATCAGCGACTCAAGGCGATAGTAGTAGTAGTAGAATAAATAGTAGTAGGTAGTAGTAGTAGTTGTATAAATAACTTTAGTACTATAAATATAATACTATAAATAACCCAGGAAAATGTATTGTCGAAGGCTTTCATGGCCGGAATCACTGGGTTGTTGTAGGTTTTTTCGGGCTATATGGCTATGGTCTAGAGGCATTCTCTCCTGACGTTTCGCCTGCATCTATGGCAAGCATCCTCAGAGGTAGTGAGGTAACTCAGGAAAGTTGACAATAATAATATGTATTGTCGAAGGCTTTCATGGCCGGAATCACTAAGTTCTTGTGGGTCTTTTTGGGCTATATGGCCATGTTCTAGAGGCATTTCTCCTGACGTTTCGCCTGCATCTATGGCAAGCATCCTCAGAGGTAGTGAGTGCCCTCAGAGATAGTGAGGTAACTCAGGAAAGTTGACAATAATAATATGTATTGTCGAAGGCTTTCATGGCCGGAATCACTAAGTTCTTGTGGGTCTTTTTGGGCTATATGGCCATGTTCTAGAGGCATTTCTCCTGACGTTTCGCCTGCATCTATGGCAAGCATCCTCAGAGGTAGTGAGTGCCCTCAGAGATAGTGAGGTAACTCAGGAAAGTTGACAATAATAATATGTATTGTCGAAGGCTTTCATGGCCGGAATCACTAAGTTCTTGTGGGTCTTTTTGGGCTATATGGCCATGTTCTAGAGGCATTTCTCCTGACGTTTCGCCTGCATCTATGGCAAGCATCCTCAGAGGCGAGGTCTGCTTGGTAACCTCTGAGGATGCTTGCCATAGATGCAGGCGAAACGTCAGGAGAAATGCCTCTAAAACATGGCCATATAGCCCGAAAAGACCCACAAGAACTTAATAATAATATGTGTTACTAATAACGATGGAGGCTCCTTCTCTCGAGGTCTTTCAGCAGAAGCTGGATGGCCATCTGCTGGGAGGGCTTTGATGGTGTCTCCCCGCATGTCAGTATGCTGGACTAGATGGCCCTTAGGAGCTTTTCCAATTCTAGGGTCCTATGATCAACACCTTCTCCATTGTGTATTCCAGGAACTGTGCCGCAACCCGCTTTTCATTATTGATGGCGCCACCCGCACAGACGTCTGCCAAGGAGCGCTGGGTAAAGTTGTTTCTACTTGTCTCAGGTTGTGACAAATGCCCTCGAAACCATCCGTACAGCAAAATTATAGCAGCAGAAGATCTGAACTTTACTTTCCCCTTCTCTTTTCCATCCTAATATTTGTCTGATTGTAAACATCCGGAGAGAGACAGCTGCACGTCTTATCTTTGCAAGCTGCCCTGCGAGCCTTCGGGCTAAAGGGCGGGACGCAAATGCTTGAAATAAGTCGAGGCCTATTGTGTGGGTGCTGCAAAGAGAAAGGCAGAAATTTTTCCCCCAGAGAAGCCAAAATAGAATCCTAGAGTTGGAAGAGACACCCTAAGAGCCATCGTGTCCAACCCCATTTTGCCAGGCAGGAAGACACCATCAAAGCCCTCCCGACAGATGGCCACCTAGCCTGCGAATATGCTGCCATAAAGTCCAGCTGACATTTATAATATCTATATAAATAAAAATGTAATATTTGTTTGTGATACTATCAGAACTCAAAAACCACTGGGGGAATTGGCACCAAATTTGGACACAATACACCTAACAACCCAATGCATGTTCTCCACTCAACCCCCCTCCCAAAAAAAACACTTCCCCCTCCCTCCCCCCACCCCCCTTAGAAAGACGTTCAACTGTAAGCCTCAGGGAGGGAAGGAGTGCACGTGCATGGCCAGCAGCGAGTGCGCATGCCCAGCAGGCTCCCATGGAGGCCCTCCCTTCAAGAGCTGGAGGAAAAGCCCTCATCCCCGCAGGCCTACTACCCTGTCACTATCCTTTACATCAGGGGTCCTCAAACTATGGGGTGTGGAGAAGGGTGAGTCCCCCTCCCCCCTAATACATATATATTATATATATTATTGTTATATATACTACTATATAATATAATGTTACTACTATATATTACTATATTAAATAGACTCATAGAATAGACTTAGAAGGGACTCTACCATGGTATTGGGGGAGAACAGAGAGGAAGGAAGAAGAGAAGAAAGGAGGGAGGGAAAAAGGGAAGGACTGAAGGAGGGAAAAGGGGAGGGAAGGAAGGAAAGAGAAAAGGAAGGAGAGAAAGAAGGAAGGAGGGAAGGAAGTACCAAAGGAAGGAAGAAGAAAAGTAAAAAGGAAAGAAAAAGGGACGGAAATGCAGGAAAGAAGTAAAGAAGGAAGGAGAAAAGGAAATAAAAAGTGACAGGGAGGGAAGAAAGGAGACAAAGGAAGAAGTAGAGAAGGGGGGAGAAAAGGAAGAAAAGAGAGAAGGAAGGATAAAACCAAAGAGCGAAAGAAGGAATGAAAAAAAGAGGTAGAGAAGGACGAAAGGAGAGAAAGGGGAAGGAAAAGGAGGGAAGGAATGGGCAGGAAAGAAAGAGGTAGAGAAGGAAGAAAGGAGAAAAAGGGGGAGAAAAAGCGGGAAGGAATAGGTAGGTACCTCTCTTTCATAATAGTCCAGATATCTACCTCTACTTTGAAAATTCTTACTATAGGCCACAGCAACATGTGGCAGGGCACAGCTAATAATAATATTAATAATAATAATAATAATAATAATAATAATAATAATAATAATAATATTATTTATACCCTGCCACCATCTCCCCAATGGGGACTCGGAGCAGCTTACATGGCGCCAAGCCCGGACAACATGTTACAGCAAAGTAAAACCAGAACATAAACAACAAGCAAATCATCAAAATTACATAGAAAAAAAAAGTATAAACACAGTAACAAAATAACATTCCAATAAACACAATCACGATAACAGTGGGTGGGCCACATGTACAGGATAAAATGATTAAAAACTCTAATGAGATAAAAATAGGAGCAGGTTATTTGCAGGGAGCTCATAAAAACACACAGGGTTGTGGAACTAAACTTCCCATTTGGAGGGTGTGTACTCCAGTGGCAGAAGCGTTGAGGGGAGCACAATTACTTACTTACTTAGGCGATCCCTCGTTGGACGAGTAAGATGGTCTTCCATTATGGATTTCCTTGTGGGTCCGCATGTGGCTGTGGAGCCCTATTCTTGCTCTGCATCTTCTTCCGCAGTGAGGGCATTGGTTTCCAGGTGGAAGGCGGTCCCGGTCGGGGTTGGCTTGACGCGCCTTCCTCCTGGCACGTTTCTCTCTTTCACCCTCCACTCGTGCCTCTTCAAATTCTGCAGCACTGCTGGTCACAGCTGACCTCCAGCTGGAGCGCTCAAGGGCCAGGGCTTCCCAGTTCTCAGTGTCTATGCCAGAGTTTTTAAGGTTGGCTTTGAGCCCATCTTTAAATCTCTTTACCTGTCCACCAACATTCCGTTCTTGAGTTCGGAGTAGAGCAACTGCTTTGGGAAATGGTGGTCGGGCATACGGACAATGTGGCTGGTCCAGCGGAGTTGATGGCGAGGACCATCGCTTCAATGCTGGTGGTCTTTGCTTCTTCCAGCACGCTGACGTTTGTCCGCTTGTCTTCCCAAGAGATTTGCAGGATTTTCCGGAGGCAGCGCTGATGGAATCGTTCCAGGAGTTGCATGTGACGTCTGTAGACAGTCCACGTCTCACAGGCATAGAGCAGGGTTGGGAGGACAATAGCTTTATAAACAAGCCTTGGTATCCCTACGGATGTCCCGGTCCTCAAACACTCTCTGCTTCATTCGGAAAAATGCTGCACTCGCAGAGCTCAGGCAGTGTTGTATTTCGGTGTCGATGTTGACTTTGGTGGAGAGGTGGCTGCCAAGGTAGCGGAAATGGTCCACATTTTCTAATGTTACACCATTAAGCTGTATTACTGGCATTGGAGAGGGATTGGCTGGCGACTGCTGGAACAGCACCTTGGTTTTCTCAATGTTCAGTGACAGGCCGAGCTTCTCGTATGCTTCTGCGAAGGTGTTTAGAGTGGCTTGTAGATCTTCTTCTGAATGCGCACAGATGACATTGTCATCAGCATACTGGAGTTCTATAACAGCTGTTGTTGTAACCTTGGTTTTGGCTTTCAGTTTTCAGTCTGCGGGGAGCAATAGTGTCATATTGTGCATCTACTCGCCAAAGGCACAGTGGAAGAGCCGGGTTTTAAGGTTCTTTTCTAAGTCGGGAGGGCTTTGATGGTGTCTTCCTGCTTGGCAAAGGGTTGGACTAGATCAGTGGTCCTCAACCTTCCTCATGTTGTGATGACCCCCAATCATAAAATTATTTTTATTGCTACTTCGTAACTGTAATTTTGCTACTGTATCGCAATGTAAATATCTGTTATGCAGGATGTATTCACTGGACCAAATTTGGCACAAATACCCAATACTGGTGGGGTTGAAGAGGGGATTGATTTTGTCATTTGGGAGTTGTCGTTGCTGAGATTTATAGTTCACCTGCAATCAGAAAGGTTTCTGAACACCACCAACAATAGAAGTGAACCAAACTTGGCACACAAGACTCCCACAACCAACAGAAAATACTGGAAGGGTTTGGTGAGCATTGAGCTTGAGTTTGGGAATTTTGGTTCACCTACATCCAAAGAGCACTGTGGACTCAAACAATGATGGATCTGGACCAAACTTGGCATGAATATTCCATATGCGCAAATATGAACACAGATGGAGTTTAGGGGAAATAGACGTTGACATTTGGGGGTTGTAGTTGCTGGGATTTATAGTTCACCTCCAATCAGAAAGGTTTCTGAACTCCGCCAACAATTGAAGTGAACCAAACTTGGCACACAAGACTCCCATGACCAACAGAAAACACTAGAAGGGTTTGGTGGGCACTGACCTTGAGTTTGGAAGTTGTAGTTCACCTACATCCAGAGATTCCTGTGGACTCAAACAATGATGGATCTTCTGGACTAAACTTGGCATGAATATTCCATATGCGCAAATATGAACACAGATGGAGTTTGGGGGAAATAGACCTTGACATTTGGGGGTTGTAGTTGCTGGGATTTATAGTTCACCTCCAATCAGAAAGGTTTCTGAACTCCACCAACGACAGAATTAAACAGAACTCCCACAACCAACAGAAAATACTGGAAGGGTTTGGTGAGCATTGAGCTTGAGTTTGGGAGTTTTGGTTCACCTACATCCAGAGACCCCTGTGGACTCAAACAATGATGGATCTGGACCAAACTTGGCATGAATATTCCATATGCCCAAATATGAATACAGATGGAGTTTGGGGGAAATAGACCTTGACATTTGGGGGTTGTAGTTGCTGGGATCTAAAGTTCACCTGCAATCAGAGAACTTTCTGAACTCCACCAATGATGGAATTGAACCAAACAGAACTCCCATGACCAGCAGAAAATACTGGAAGGGTTTGGTGGGCATTGAGCTTGAGTTTGGGAGTTGTAGCTCACCTACATCAAGAGATCCCTGTGATTTTGTCGTTTGGGAGTTGTAGTTGCTGGGATTTCACCTAGAGAGCCTTCCGAACTCCACCAATGATGGAATTGAACCAAACTTGGCACACAGAGCTCCCACGACCAATAGAAAATACTGGAATGGTTTGGTGGACATTGACCTTGAGTTTTGGAGTTGTAGTTTACCTACATCCAGAGAGCACATAATGATGGATCTGGACCAAACTTGGCCAGATATTCAATATGTCCAAATGTGAACACTGGTGGAGTTTGTGGAAAATAGACCTTGACATTTGGGAGTTGTAGTTGCGGGGATTTATAGTTCATCTACAAACAAAGATCATTCTGAACTCCACCAACGATGGAATTGAATCAAACTTGGCACACAGAACTCCCATAACCAACAGAAAATACTGGAAGGGTTTGGTGGGCATTGACCTTGAGTTTTGGAGTTGTAGTTCACCTACATCTAGAGCACATAATGATGGACCTGGACCAAACTTGGCCAGATATTTGGCCAGATAGTTCACCTACAATCAAAGATCATTCTGAACTCCACCGACAATGGAATTGAACCAAACTTGGCACACAGAACTCCCACGACCAACAGAAAATAGACCTTGACATTTGGGAGTTGTAGTTGCGGGGATTTATAGTTCACCTACAAGCAAAGATCATTCTGAACTCCA